ATAACTTCAGCTTCATAAACCATAGTGGGCTTGGTGTTAGAGAATTTGGTAGAATACGTTGCATAACACCAACTTGTTAGTCACAGGATAACCATAGGTGGATTGACTCTTACTGTCTATTCTGAACAGTGAAACTACATATTTTTATAAGTATGCTTCATTTTTAATTGTGTAATTAAGTTGCTGACATAAGCAAGTATGCAATCTCACATTAAGGTAAGGATCCGTAAAGGCATTCATTTGCATAATTTAATTTTCTGCAAAGAAGATATTGAAAATCAATGGCATGATTCATAGCCTCACCATATCATTGCCATGCTGCTGTTGGTTGGCTGTTTGAGTTTAGAAGAGTACAAAGGGTATTAGAATTGATTGAATGTGGTGGGTGCTGAGTCTGTATCTTTACATGGGAACCACAGATTTTTTCTTTTTGCCAATCTCTGCTACTTGTCAATAAAATATTAAGTTGCCCAGTATACTCTACTTTTTTGGCTGTGCAAATATATTTAATTTTTTTTTTTTAAAAAACACCTTGTCATATGGTTAAAATGCATTTGAGGAGACTTAGAATTGTGTTTTATTTAAAATTATGCAAGTGGGCCTCCCTGGTGGCACAAAGGGTTAAGGTGCAACCTATGAAGCTATCCGCAGCCACTGCAGCAAGAGTTCGATTCCTGGCCAGGAAGCTACCCACATGGCATGGCAGACCTATCCTCTCTCTCTAGCTGCTCCCCTCAGCAGTGTATTTCAGACAATCTGCCTTTTCTGTTCCCCGCTCTGTCTCTGGTGAATTCTCTCATCTCCCACACATCTAGCCTCTACCCCAGTTCTTGTATACATAAATAAATAAATCTTTAAAAAAATTATGCAAGTCCCAGGAGTACATGATGATGTTTTTATTCAGGGAAAAAAGAAACCACACATCACTGATAGATGGATTAAAAGGGTAAACTAAATATAGTCATTCTTAATGAATAGTTTATGTCTTAAAAAGAACTCTGGTGCCAGATGACAAAAGTCCTTTACTACCCTGTTCATTTCTGATTTGCCTCCCCAAAGACTGACACGTTCAGGATTATTACTTTCAGCTTTTGTTTAGAGCTTGACTGTTCTGATAGGTGGGCAGTGACTAGAAAACAGACCATGGAGGGAAGTGTGTCTTTTTGTCTGTGGCCTTTATAAACACACACATACACATGGTCTGCATTCAGATGCTTGTACTCTTACTCTTCCTGTTTCTCAGCCTTTCTGTTGTTTGTGTCATTGACTCGTTAATTATTGGATATATAACACTTGCAAAACTCCATCATGGGGGCCTCCCCTGGCGGCTCAGTTGTTTGAGCGCCACACTGTGAAGCTGTCTGCAGCCTGCAGCGCTGGTTTGATCCCTCCTGGCCGGCCAGGGAGGGTCCTACATGGCATGGCAGACCTCTCCTGCCGTGCCCGCTGCTCCCCTCAGCAGTGTGTTTTGTCACTCTGCCTGTTCTGTTCCCTCTCTGTCTCTGGTGAATCCTCTCACCCTCCCGCGCATCTGGCCTGTACCCCGGTTCTTGTATAAAATAAATAATTAAATCTTAAAAAAAAAAGCCAAAAAACTCCATCATGGGTGCTCAGTTGAGAACTTCAGGGAGCTTAGAGCCTTTCAGAAATGTGCAGCATGCCTTTCAGAGGTAGTTTTCCTGCTTATTCCAACTCACTGTGTATTATCCACATTGTACTGCAATACTTTGGGGAGTGTGATGAAGACAGGTTAACCCATTTTCCTTGGGGTGCCCCTGTTGGCCCTCCTTCTCCCTGTCTTCCATCTTGTCAGTTAATCTGTTTGCAGTTAACCCCAATTCTCACTTTTGTCTCAGGTGAACTCCCTTTATTCAGGGATTTCCACTGCACAGCCCAGATCCCTTATATGGATGGCTGGGACAGGCTCTTGGAGGTGTAGATTCCATTACTTTGCAGGGTCAGGGGAGGACCCTTTGATATGTACCTTTTTTGTTTTTTGAATTGGATGTATCTTTGTTGATTTGCCTTCTCACTAACAGTTTAGTAAATTTGGGGAGCCAGCAGAGTGGGACTCCAAAACCCATGGCCTCTGTGCATTCTACTAGACTGATGTGATTGTGGTCTGCTTCTAAGTACTTGGAGTTGACCACTTCCTAGCAGGATGGGTAATGCAGCTGCCAGCACAGAAGCCACTTACAGAGATGCAGCTGGCAGACCCTGTTCACCTTTTCCCCACCCTGATGATCTCAAAGGTTCTGGGAAATAAAAGGCACTTCCTTTTAGGGAAAAAAAAGGAGGGGCAGTGAGGGTGGGGAGGATATTGGTTGTGGAGATTCCAGTTCTACATCACCTCTTCTGTAGAGGGTGTGAGAATTAACATCCACAATGATAACCCATTCTTTCTTTATTTTTATCCCTGGTTCATTTATTTGTGGGCTTTCTGGTGTTAACCCTGGCTCAGCTCAGATTGTCTAAATTCTGAGGTTGACACCACACTGGTGTGATTTCTTCAGCAGGCTGTTATTTTCTGTCCAGCCTGCTCTTTCCTAGTGTTAAGATTTGCCTGTCAGGTTGCAGGCTATGAGGTGAGAGTTGAGGGAATGAATGTCAGAGTTGAATGGGACCTCAGATCTAGCTCAGCAGGGGGTTTGTGTTTCTTATGTCTGACTTCAAAATAGAATCACTGGGGGGAACTTAAAAAAAAAAAATACTATCATCTGGGCCATAGCCCAGACCAATTAAATCTGAATCTCAAAAGGTAGAGGCCAGGGCATGGAAAATTGTAATTGTTTGTTTTTAAAGCTGGCAGGATTGAGAGTCAGAATTTTAGTCCATCAGTGTCTTTTACTGATGGAGAAATTCATGATCAAGAGTTGAAACTACTCATTTGAAGGTTATTAAGGTCATTAATGTCATTTGAAAGTTCTTTTGTGTATTCTTTCTAACTCACTGATGTCCCCATTCCCAAACAATCGCTGGGGCTAAAGGCATGGTTTAGAGTGATTGAATGACTTTAGCCAAGCGAGCACCTGTTCTGGAGCTGGCAGGGGTGGGAATGGAAGGACATGGCTGTCCAGTTTATGACGGTAACCTCATAGTATGGGGTATGACAGTGACAGAAGCAGAGTCTCTGCAAGAGTTTCCATGATTTAACAGGCCTTTCAAAAGCACTACTGCCCAGTGCTGAGTTAGATGCTCTGCTCACTGTAATTTGTGTGTCTTCATAACAATCCTGTGAGGCTCAGAATTATAGTTCCATTTTACAGATAAGGAAAGTGAGGCTCAATCACACACCCTACTGGAAGCCCCATACATTACTCCCATTGTAAAGACATGGTCTTATTCATTGACTTAATACAAAAAGGATTATTTAGGAATATTTAGAGTGAACTAGCTCTCAGAAGCATAGAAAACAGATACATAAAAAAGCTTCCCTTATGTATACAAAACAAACAAGCCAAAATTTTATTTAGTGCCCTTTAGTGGAGGAAGAAAATAGATTAGGAGAGTAGAAAATGGGATGATTTTATTTTTGATTTCTAGTAGCTTAGAATGTTAAGTTCCCAAATCTTTGAATGACTCATCTACCACATTGTAGAATGGATGGATTGGATGATGGGCATTTAAGCTTTTCATTGTATTTTAAAAATGGATAGTAACTCAGATTTTGACTATAATTCTGGACCAATGAGCAGATATAAACGACACAGACTTACATTTTAATTATATGTTTGAATTTTAAAACATTTCCCATTTCCCATTGAAGAGCTCATCTATTTGGAATATATTTGTTCTTGGTTCAAGCATTACTTCTCTTAAAGCCTTTCTTTACAATTGACATACAAGCACACATTACATATTTCCTTATTTTTCTTCACAACTGTCAGGTTGTCAACAAAGCTAATGCCATCATGGTGAAATTATTATTGTTACTTTAATTAGGAATGGGAATGTATTGTGTTTAGAAAATAATTGTGTTTTCCTGGTGCCATCTTAATCTTAAATTGTGCATACATTTCCCATAACCACTTTCTTTGTTTTTTTAAAAGCATATTTGATTTTGTTTGGGTGCTTTTAAATATTAACACAGACAGCTGGGATGTACTGTTGGAAGTGTAATTCCATTTCATTTTGGATTCTGGGCACCTGTGATGTTTGTCGTCTTACACATCAGTGCTTTCAGGTGTGGATTCCCAACAAAAGAAATTTGCATCCATGAAAAGCTAGGAGGGGAGGGCTTTGAACACTAGAGCAGGCAAATGGAACATCTCTAGAACAGCGTAGAAGATTGGATTCATTTTGAGTTGAAAAAAACCAAACCATCATGAAGCAGTTTCTTTCTGAGCATTGCTGTCTTTGGACGGTTTCAAATTTCATATCCTCAGGTACAACAGGTAACTGTTTGGGGTTCAAGGGGTGTGGATAGCTGGTAATAATCACGGACAGACTCCCAGAAATGAGACTGTGCTGTTTGGCTTTGCTGCAGGCTTACCTGTATGACAGGGAACAATTAGTGTCTGTCAACCTTAATTTCTCCAGTTGTAGAAGAGAAGGAAATGATGTTTTTTGCTCTGTGAAGATCAAGTGAGGCTCAGAGGCCCATTGTACAGTAGGACATAGGCTTATAATTGTAGGTCTACTGGTTGATTGTCCTTGTGGAAGTTAGAGTGGTTTAACTTCTGAAAGGTGCAGTTTGCTTTTCTATACAATGGTCCTATTATTAGTATTGTTGTATCTATGGCATAGTGGTATTTTGCAGATTAAATTAGATAATGTATGTACATCGTTTCCTGTACAGTGTTCTTGGCACAACTGGAGACTCCTTATAAGCAATTGTGAATATTCATGAATGTAGTATTCTCTCTACACTCCTCTGTAGTTTTCGGTAAAATCAGGAGGCTCTGTTTAGTTACCCCTGGGCCTGTGCTTCTAGGCAGTGTGCATGACAACTTGTGTTCTACAGTGATGCCTTTGTCTCATTGGGCTCTCCTTTGTTCTAGTGTTGACAGAAGGCTACGTGGGGTCCTTGCACGATAACAGACACGGCAGCTCAGCGCAGATCCGCAGGCGCAAGGCCTCAGGCGACCCGTACTGGGCCTACTCCGGTAAGTTGACTTGTGCCCAACAGGCTTGCACAAGCCAGTAAACATCCCATTAAAGTCACTCACAAGCGCACTTTTAATCACTTTCACACCTCACTTCTGTTTGTTCAAACCTTTTGTAGTTCACTAAAAGTTGAAATATTCAGGCTTGTTTTTCTTCAAGGTTGTATGTAAGTACCTTAATTTATTTCTCCCACCTGTTTTCTCAACCTGTTTTTCCCTCTCAATTTGCATTTATTTCTGAACTTTCCTTGTTAATGAGTTATTGTACCAAAGTTGTAATTTTCCAAAGACACAGCCTTTTCTGTCTTTTCAGGGCTGTGATTTCAGAGAGCAGGAAATATAGGGCCAGACTTGAGCTGCTAAACGTATGCTCAGTATTACAAAGCAGCACATATCAAGATGATCTATTACACTTCAGTCTAAGAACTCAACTTTATTTTCAAATCAAACCTTGTTAGTTGGATATATTTCAACCCTCTGCTCCAGGGGATTTTGCGTTCCTTTCCATTGTTATTTGTGCGTTTAACCTTTGAGCCAGTGAAGAGAGAGAACAGTGTTATAAGTATGTTGACTATTGCATGGGAAATAATTTTCTTATTTTTTAAGGGCGGGGGGGGGTGAAGAATTACAAGAATATACAGAGCTTTCTGGACCTTGCTTTCAACAACTCGCAAGAGTATGGCAGATGGATTGTTATTTCTAAAAGGTATTTTGATGTTCAAAAATATATGGAAAATGTATTGTAGCTAATTAAGGAGGAATGCTTGAGAAGATAGACCACTTTGGAAATTACTTTGGCACTGAATAATTCAAATTCTTTGTATGAAAGGGCTTGGAGGCACAGAGTATTAGTCTTAATAATAAATCTATGTATTATGCAATGTTGTTGCATACAGGACTAAAGATATTATTTTCATAATGCTCTAGTTTTAAATCCTGAATTTCCACCTGCAAATCCTGTTAAATTTATGTCAGTAGAAAATTTATAGGCTTGATCTTTAATTACACCTTATCTATTGGCTTTTTGCATCCTTTTGTCTATTGATAAATCTCCTGCCCCTACAGGGAGAATAGCCTATCTGTTTTGTTTTGCAAGGAGCAGATAGTGATTCTGAAGTCTTCCATCACACCCAGTTTCTTGTGATTAGAATTATCTAATTAGAGCCTTTTTGTCACTATTTCTGATAAATGAAGGAAATTGGAGATGAAGGCCAAAATTACATATATATAGCTTCTTGCCAAGAAACCAAAGAAAATTTATCATTTTGTACTCTGGCTCTGATATCAGTTAGGAAGAGGCATAAAGTGGCCTGCTATTTACAGTTCATCAATTTAGAATAATAATGCTGTTAGTCAGGAAATTGGAAGTTATACCCTATCAGCATCTCTAATTGCAAATGACAGTGGAGGCAAGAAAGAGAGGCCTAACACATTTTTACTCAGTTAAGAATGGACGTATGCAGTGCAATCTTTGGGATGGAGCTATTGTCAGTATTCTTAATCCGTCTCCATTTTGTATTTCTGGAATGTACTGTGCCTGAATTTGGGGACGCCTCTATCAGTGGAAGGGCTAACAGTTCAGCCTCAGAGGTTGGCCTCCTTTTCTGTAAAGATTCAGCTAGTATTTATTTTAGGCTTTGCAGGGCCTATGGTCTCTGTTATAATTCCTCAACTCTACCATAGTGGTGCCAAAATCAGCCCTAGTTAATACTGGACCCAGTGGATATGTTTTTTTTTTTGTTTTTTTGTTTTTTGTTTTTTTAATTAATTTATTTATACAAGCACTGGGTACAGTCAGAAGCGCGGGAGGGCGAGAGAATTCACCAGAGCCAGAGCGGGGAGCAGAGCAAGCAGAAGGACCAAAGTACACTGCTGAGGGGAGCAGCGGGCGGCAGGAGAGGTCTGCGCGCCATGTGGGACCCTCCTCCCGTGGCCGGGGAGCAGCCGGGGATTGAACCGGCGCTGCAGAGGCTGCGGGCAGCTTCACAACCCAGTGCTCAACCGCTGCGCCACTGGGGAGGCCCCCAGTAGATATGTTTTGATAAAAGTTTATGTATACTGAAATTTGAATTTTATATAATTTTCATTTGTCAGGAAAAAATCATACTTTTTTTGATTCCTGCCTTCCAACCATTAAAAAATGCAGAAACCATTTTTTTAAAAAGATTTATTTATTTATGCATATAAGTGGTATGCCAGAGGTGTGTGAGGTGAGAGGACCCATCAGAGACAGAGTGGGGAAACAGAACAGACTGACTGAAATATACTGCGGAGGGGAGCAGCAGAAGAGGTCTGCTGTGTCATATGTGTAGTTTCTGGCCGGCCCGGGTTCAAACTCTTGTTGCAGAGGCTGTGGATATCTTCACAGTGCTGTGCTTAACCCTTGTGCCACCAGGGAAGCCTGCCATTCTTACTTCAGTTTATGCTAAAATAGGTAGCTAGTTGGATATGGTCCACAGACTGTACAGTTTGTCAATCCCTCTTTTATGTTTTTTGTTCTTTCTGAAATCAGGATTAGAGAAGAATTTCTTCAGAAGGATACAGACTGATTTTCACAAACTAGTGAAGTCACTTGCTACATGTATTGGAAAACATAAAAGTTAAAAAAAGGAAAGAATGAGACATATAAGCTGGATGTTGTACAGAATTCCTGCTTGTGTTTTTAGTCCTTGCTGTGTTCTTCCATGCTTGCTTCATGCCACAGTGCTAAAATATCTGCATCTCATTTCAAGGAGACCAGGGGTGCATTAGAGATGTTCCTTAGCATTTGGCCATCAGATAAAGAGGGGACAAAGAGTAAGACTTGTTACTTTGGACCTAAGATCATTGCCTTAGAACCATAGCAAACCTGATATTGGACTGGCTGCAGATAGATAGCTTTAGGTACACAAGTGGTTGAAAACTGTGACTCCCAAAAGAAAGGCTTGTTGGAATAAGGAAATATTTCTAAATTTAGCAAAGGTGAAATGAGCCATTTCTGAACAATTGGTTTATGGCCCAGATTTATATCTCATGTCTCTAATACACAGATTTGTCTTCGTTCCTCCTAAGAAAATGCCATTGTACTTTGCAGTGTGATGTATGAGAATATGAATTTTGAAGTCATATCACCAGACCATGGTTCAAGTCTAGATTTTATCTTTCAATATCTTGATAATATTCAAAGGACATTTGATTTCTTGAAGCCTCTTTTCCTCATCTTTGAAATGGGAATAATAGCATTTCCTTCTTAGAATTTTTAAGGAAATTAAATGAGATGGTATGAGTGAAAATTTAACAAGGTTCTGAGATAAAGTACCTAATATTATTTCTTGCTGTTTTTAACACCATTATTGCTTTTGTTGCTCTTGATGATGTTATTATTGATTGCTTGTGGGTAGCCATGATTGGCCTAGTTGCTGATCACTAGGTGTTACTAAGAGCTAAGTAAGCTAAAATCTATCAGTCATGATTCACAAGAATTCCCTATTAGGTAATGAGGGTTAAGCAAACAATTCTCAAGTTTAGGGGTTGACAAACTACCACACACTGCCAGTTTTTGTGAATAAAATTTTATTGGAACACACCATTCCCATTCCTTTGGGTATTGAATATGGCTGCTTTCCTGCTAGAGTTGAGTAGTTTTTACAGAGAGTGTTTGACCACAGCCTAGAATATTCTGGCCCTTGTCAGAAAAGTTTTGCCAACTTATGCTCATGTTGTTGCAACCTGGGTATTTGAGCAGATGTTAGTCTGACTCATGACCAGGGCTGTTCAGAGATTTGGAAGATTTATTTATTAGTTTATTGGGGCAAGGGGTGGGGGTGGGGTTTCTTGCATTTATTGGAACTGGACTGTCCTCAGCAAGCATTCTAGTTAGTATTCAGAATGACTTTGGGAACACAGATGAGGGAGAGGGGTGTGTTGCAGGAATGAATCAGGCAGATGAGTGGCTGTTGGTGGTTCCAGGGTGCCCCAGGCTCCTCTGACCTGCTCCTTAGGTGCCTTTTTGTGGGTCGGATTTGTTGAAGCTCCTCACCAGGTATTCTTGTAGCAACCCACAGCAGTCGCTGAGCTGTGGATAGCTTGTTTCTAGGGTATCATTATCACAGTAGTTCATTAATATTAGTTTAACTTTTCATCTCAGTGCTAAATTCATTATTTCAGTTTCACTGCACCACCTTAGACACTGCATACATCCTGTTTATATTTGCAGTCTTAAAAAAAATTGACTTTTGTGGCCTAATCAAACAATGCCATTGTCAAAACCCAAAGTGTTAGCACAGAAGGTTGCTTACCGAGGAGGTTGGAGGTGTATCCCATTGTGATCATCTGAAAATTGATCATTTCTCTGGTTCATATTATTGTCCACTGTAAAATGGGAAATCAACAAAAATACCATGCAGAAGAGATAGGAAGTGTAACATATTATTATTGTTGTTAATTAATGCCAATATAATTTCAAGATTGATTTAAATCTTTGGATTTATTTTCCTTGTACCAAGATGAGGGGGAACCTCTATGGATTTTGCACAAGGTTACACTGAAAAAAAAATTAAAGAATATCTCACTGGAAATATTAAAACAATTTCTTCTCTGTGAGTTTTAGTTCACAAATACAGATATTTTTTCTGTGTGGCTTGAGGTGATGACAGCTCATGAATTTTGGAATTTGCCCAGTTCTTTTGTAATAAAGTAACACATGCTAGGTAGGTCAGCCTTGCCGGAAAGGGAAATGAGAGACAAATTTGGAGTAAATTTAAGTGGAAGTTTGAGGCATTTTGAAGAGCTATCTGTTTTCTCCCTTTCACGACTTAGAGAAAAACAGGTTGTGGTTTCTCTTCCCACTTCATTTTTACTCACCTTGTTTGGGTTTCTGCATTTTTAGTATTTGTATCTCTTGTTTCTTTTGTATAGAAAGATTCTATGAATCAATGTAAGGTGGATAAATTTCATAGTTAGTAAAATGCAAAACTGAGATTTAAGATGACTAAAATTCCCTGAAAGTATTGTCTGGTAAT